TCGAACTGTTTACCTTGCGGTGAGCAACCCAACGGGTAACCACCGTGCCACCAGGGCTCCTCGGATCAGGGAAATGTGCAGCCAGTCCCCCCGCCCCCAGAGGAGGCTGCCAATCGGGGGTGCAGGTGGCCCCAACTAGAGCCCTTTTTGTGCAGGGGCTGTGCCAGGGCTGGGTGGCTTGGTTCTTTCTCGTGCTGCTGGACTGGAAGCACCCGGGGTGGGGGGCTTTCACAGAGGGACCTTGATTTTCACTCAGGGTCCCAGCCCTAGGGGAAGGCTTTCTCTCTGTCGCCTCTGGGAGAAGGTCCCTGGTCCCTGGGAGGTCTCAGTGGGTTGCTTCTCTTCCCCACTTGGCTCCTTTGCTTCCCTAGCTTGTAACTCACCAGCCCCGCCCTTGAGACACACCCATCACATTCACACATTGAAGAACGCCCAGCCCAGTCTGGGGCTGAGTTCACTCAATTAAAAAGACCGAACCAAAGGCACTGCCCTAGAGTCAGTCCACTCTGACTGCTAGGGATCCCTTCGGACAGAGAAGAACTGGCCCTGTGGGTGTCCCAGACTGTACCTCTCTATGGGAGCAGAAAGCCTCATCTTTCTCCCTCCGAGAGGCTGGTGGTTTCCAACTGCCGACCTTGTGGATGGCAGCCCAACGCATAACCACTGTGCCACCAGGACTCCTAGTTGACTCAGAGGGCGGGGTAGCATGGCCTCCCGGGCCCTGTCTAAGGCTGTCATCTTCATGGGAGAAAGAGGCGGCGGTCCACCCTGGAAGGAGTGACAGTCTCGGAAGCCCACAGGAGCGTTCCACCCTGTTCTACAGGGTTGCTACGAGGTGGCATCGCCTAAAGGCAGGGAGGCTGGCTTTGGTTTGGTCACCTTCCTAGGAGCAGGCTGGCACACCTTTCTCCCTCTGAGCAGCTGATGTGACCCCCTGAGCGGCTCTACCCTTGCCTGGCTCCCTAGACCCCAGCCCCACTCCAAACACTCTCTGCCCTCTATTCGATTCCCATTCATAAGGGTCCTCCAGGAAGGAATAGGATGGCCTCTGTGCGTTCCTGTAAATCCTGATGGGAGTAGACAGACTCATCTTCCTCCCGTGGATCAGCTGGTGGTTTTGAACTGTTGATCTTGAGGTCAAGCAGCTCATCGTGTAACCAAGGCACCCTAACCCCAGCCAGAGGGGTCCAGATTTCCAGCCCATCCATTTGGAGCACCCCGCTCAATCCCTAGCAGCCATCAGGGGTGGGAGGGAGGATGGCTTGTTGGCCCCATTGGGAGACCTTTCAGGAGCGCATTGAACACACCCCTCCTGGGCACCTGGACCGCCGTCAGTGGGGACACTGGCAAGAACAAGAGGACTCCACTGGAGGGCACACAGGCTGGAAGGATGGGGGCAGGACGGGGCCCAGCAGCTAGTCCAGTGGGGAGGCCAGCGAGGGAACGCACGAGGAGGTTGCTGGGGAAGGATGGAGATGTTCAGTGCAGGCGGGGACCTGCTCTTGGCTGGGCGCAGAGCAGGAGGGCTGGCGTGGCATGGAGTGGGCTGAGGTTGGAGAACTTGGGCTTTGATTCTACCCTGGAGGGTTCTGAGCAGAGGAGGGTACACCCTGCCTGACTCGGGTGCCTGCAGGAGCCCTCTGGGAGATGTGGAAGGGCAGACTGTGAGGGGCGAGGGCGTGAGCCGAGGGCCTAGGGTGGAGATGGGAGAAATCGTGCACTGGCAGGGAGGGGACATTCCCTCTGAAACAGCGCAGATGCGGGATGGGAAGGAAGGGGCTCAGAAGACCTGGAACAGCTACTAGGCTTTGGGCTTGGAAGGTCTGCCCTTTCCGGGGATGGGGAAGCCTGGGTCAGGGGTAGGCTTGGAGGGACCAGAGAGAAAGAGGTCACCTCACTGGCGGTGACCAAGAGAAGATGGGGGACATCATGCTGGGGGTTTGGGACAGGTAGGCACTGGAGTCAGCTTGGAGTCACCAATGCAGGGATGGTGGGCAGGAAGGAGCAGCTCACAGAGGAACCCTGAGCTCTGAAGAGACCCTCTTGGTAGGGTGAGTTCTAGAACGTTCTCTGAGGAACTGTGCTGCTCGTTACCTACCTGCGATTTTGCCTTTTGGGAACAAGAAACTCCAAACTCACTACTGGTGGGTGGACTCAGACTTGTCACAACCTCCCTACCTACAGAACAGGCTGTAGGAGAGGCCCCTGTGGGTTTCCGAGACTGTAGCTCTTTATGGGAGTAGGAAGCCTCGTCTTTCTCCCGAGGAGAGGCTGGTGGTTTCCAACTACTGGACCTCGCCGTTGATAGCCCAACTCATAACCCACTGCCTCCAGGGCTCTCTTTGGGATTTATGGAACACCGGAAAGCCAAGGAGAACAAGAACCAACTTCTATCTTAGTCCTGATGGCCTTTAGAAATATAGCTAGGTATATTTTAATAAAGACTTTAGAACATTTTATATTATGTACTCTGGACACTGTGCTAGGCCAGGTTGACTAGAGAAACAAATCCAGGGACATTCACATATGTGAAAGAGAGCTTTTTATCAAGAAGTAATTTTCTATCAGGAAAACATCCCAGTCCAGATCAAGTTCCTAAGTCCAATACTAGCCCATAAGTCCCTCTTCAGACTCACACAGCCACACAATAATGCAGAATGCAGGGAGGTCACAGGCTGGAGGGGGCAAAGTCTTGTGGATCCAATGGCAGGGGCTCTGACAGGTCCCAGAGTGGCCCAGCAACAGGAAGATGAAGGCAGAGAGAGAAGGGGGTGTTCCTAGGGCCCTCGTTACGAGAAGGCCATGCCCACAAAGAGTCACCATCAGGCTGTGCCCTGATGACAGGCTGAACTCCCCCGCTACATTGTTACATATCAAGTTGACGTGAAACCATGTAACTACCATGGACCTGTTATCAGGCGAGACCAGTCCCTGGAGAAGGACATCAGCTGGGTAGTGGAGGGGCAGGGAAAAAGAGGAAGGCCCTTAAGGAGACGGACGGACGGACACAGGGGCTGCAGCATCGTGGCTCAGACAGAGGGGCAAGGGTGAGGATGGTGCAGGGCCAGGCGGTGTTTCCTTCTGTTGTGCACGGGGTCGCCACGGGTCGGAACCAACCGCGGCACCTCACGACAGCATGCCGTGTCCGTATTTATATTAGAAAGGACAATGTCTCCTTCTATCATTGGGTGCTCTCTCCCCACTGGTCCCTCCCTCCCTCTACACTCACACAAAGGTAAGCCGGTGTCCCTCCTTGGTGGTGGTTGTCATGGAGCCGATTCCTGGTAACCGTGTGTGTGTGTGTGTGTGTGTGTGTGTGTGTGTGTGTGTTCCACGGCCTTTTCTTGGCTGTCATCTTCTGGGCAACACCAAGCGACTTTGACTGGCCGTCAGGAGCCCTGTGGGTATGCCCCGCTGCTAGCCAAGGGCAAGGTCAGCAGGTGAACACTAGCAGCAGCTCCGAGGGAGAAGGAAGGAGCACTCATTCCCCTCTTGTGAGGAGTTAGGGTCTCGGGTTCTTATCATGGACTAGATGGCGGTGAGGTGTTGAGAGGCCAGCAGCCGATCCTGGTCCAGCCACCCTTCCGAGAGCACAGCTCTCTGCCCTCACCCAGGGATGCCCACAGGCTGGTGATGGGGAGGAAGAGGTGGATGCATGCATGCATGCTTGGTCGTAGCACACATCCACCCCACGGCTGCAAACAGCGGTAGCAGCACCCCCCCACCCCCACCCCCAGTGCATTACTCATGGGGTTCTTTCCTGGAATGGTGCGTCCTAGTGTCTTTGGCAAGTGTGAGCCAGGCAGTTGGTGAGATAGCACCGAGGGGCAGCTGCCCTGTCTTGAGCTTTTGCTGTTCCCGAGTTGAGGGCCTGAGGTTCACTTTAGTGCATCCTGTGTGTGTGTGTGTGTGTGAGACGTTCGTTCTTTATACAGAGGAAGACACTGGGGTTGGGGTGGGGGGCTTCCTGGGGTCTCCCAGCAAGGGAGGGGCTTACGTGTTGCAAGTTCATCTCCCCTTAGTTGGCATTTGGGGCAGGAGCCTCTGCGGCATGGGAATGGGAGGGAGAAGGGGTTGCAAGTACGCACTTTGCTCACTTCATACACAGGGACAGCGCTTGTCAGGTGGCAGGGACGGTGTCCATTTAAGGCCATTGAGTCCCAGAGGAGTTGTCGTTGAGCCCCTGGAGTGGATGCTCTCATGGTGGCCCTATAGTGGGGCTTCTGAGCCTGTCAGTCATGGAGGGAGCAGGCAGCCTCCTTTTTCTTCCTCCATGGGGCTGTCGGGCTTGAACTGTGGACCTTCCAGTTAGCAGTGCAATGCCTAACCCACAGCGCCACCAGGGCTCCCACAGCGCCCCCCCCAGGAGATGAGGTGGGTTTTTAGCATTCTTATTTTGCAGATAGGAAACGGAGGCGCATAGGGGGCAAGACATTTGGTCAGGGTCACACAGCCAGGAAGTGGTGGCCTTGGGGTTGGAAGCTAGGTTCTCTGAACAGAAGGGTGTGTGTGTGTGTGTGTGTGTGTGTGTGTGTGAGAGAGAGAGAGAGAGGATCTGATGGACTGTGCCCAGTCTGAGAACTGGGGGAAACCATAGATCCTGAAATCGGCCATCACTTCCTCTCTCTTTTTTTCCTTTCATGGACAAAGAAAATGGCATCAGAAGAGGATGCGGCCTCCCCGGATGCTTACTCCGGCTCCACAGTGGCCTCCGGTGTCTCTGGGCCTCGGAAGAGGCCCACCTCTACCTCGTCCTCACCTGAGCTCCCGGAGTTCAGCACTTTCCGGGGCCCCCTCTGAGCTGAGGTCCTCCAAGCTGGCGGAGCTGGGGGTGTCTGTCCTCCCCCCAGTTACTTCTGGCACAGCGGCCCTGGCTGCTGGTTTCTCAGGGAATTTATCGGAGAGCGGGGAAAGCGCCCTGCCTTGGACCCTGGCTCAGGGTGCAGCAGTAAGCTGGGTGGGGGTGGGGTGCCTAGGCACTGGCCTGGATGGGAAACAGGAAGCCCCATTTGTATGTTTTGGGTCCTCAGCTTCTCAGGATCACCAGGCAAGGAGATGTGGGTACCTTGGCCCCCAATGGGGTTGCAAGAAGTCTGCTTTGCCCAGGCCTCTCTCTCCAGCACTGGGTCTTCGGTGCATTGGGCACAGGGTTGGGTGATGTCCTGTGTGTTTGCCCTGTAGACATTCCTAAATTATTTTTAAATATAACACATGTGATGTTCCCACGGCTTCTCCTGAGTGTCCCTTTTCCCAGTCTGGACCCCTGGGATGCAATCACTGGCTTCTGAAGGGGTGGGGCAGTGCTTGTCCAACCACGTCTGAGGCCTACCCCTGTGGTCAGGATGGAGATGGGGGTCGACAGTGGTCAGGGTGGAAGGAGTTACACTAGCACAGGGAGGTTCAGCAGAGTGAGGCATTGGCCAGGAATTGAGGAGGTTCAAGTATGGGTGGGAGCCCAGGAGACTGACTCCAGGCAACCCCCAGGGAATGGGGGCTTTGGAAAAGGGGCTTGAGTGGAAGATGAGGGTACAGGCAAGGGGCATGGGTCCCCTGTGCCGACCCTGGCCATCAACATTTGGGGAGGAGAGTTGCTGGGGGCCCACGGGGCTTTTGTGGGAGGGAGTGGAGTCTGAGTTTTTTCTGGGGGTTGGAAGCAGTGAAGGTGGTGGATGTGGATGGGGAAGGGAGGGGGACGACGGCAGGAAACTGGAGTGATGGGGGCGGGGAAGGAAGGCTGCGAGCTGTTGAGGGGGAAGGGTGGTCCAGACAAGGCTCTGCCCGGCTCCATCTCAAAGGGCCTTTCCGGCCAAGGGGGCGGGGCCTGCGTGGGGCCCGGGCTGGAGGCGTGTCCTCCGGCCCTGACCCCACCCCTCACCTTTTCCCCGCCCTCTCCCCCTATGTTACGTCACAAAGCGAGTCTCCGTGGGAGGGCGCAGGGCAAGTTTGAGGGCGCAACCCCGCTTCTCCACGGGCTCCTCACAATGTCAGGCGGGGCCAGGGGGCGGGGCCCACGCTCAGGGGCGTGTCTGAACGGCTCAGCCCGAGCTGGGAAGCCATCACGCAAAACGCGACCGTTGGGGCGGGGCGAGGAGGAGGGGCTTCGGGCGTGCCCGCGCGGCCTGGCACCGCCTCCCGACGCACGCTCCCGCCCTCTCCGTTTTGGAGCCGTGGAGCCACCTCAAAGCAGCGACCGTTCACGTGGGGCGGGG